GGGGGGGGGCTTTGGCTGAAGTTGAGTGTGACAGGAGACTGGGGTGGGGGGGTGGGGGAATGGCGGTGGTGGCGAAACAGGCGAGTGACAGACCGGAGTTAAAAGTGTGCTTGTGAGCTCCGTCTGCGACCAAATGCCATCACCGAGCAGGATACGAATTTGTCAGTGGAAAAACAAGGCTGGTGCTCGAGTTAGTCAAAGAGCCGTCTCCTTGTCCGGGGACAGGGTCAGAGCCTGAGGAGTCTTAGCCCGGTCCAGTCGCCGACCTCAACTAGCTCAGGGGCTAACATTAGGGATTGGAGCGGGGGTGTGACGGATGCCGAGCCCAGCCTCCCTCCCTGCTTATGTCTGCGTCTACACATCCTGTACTCTACGTCTCTTTAGTCTGTGTGGTTGTTGACGTACTTCCCGTCATGGGAAGACGACTCCTCTGCTCCTTCCTTCACCTTTCGTCCTCCTCCTCCTCCTCTCCCGGTCAGGACTTTGTAGCAGCCTCGGGAGATCTTGTACATCCAGATAGTGTTCAAGATGTCCAGGGCGATGCAGGAGGTGATCCAGGCCACCTGGGCGCCCAAACCCAGCCGATCGAACTCTGGGGTGCCGAAGGTGGCGAATACACTAACCCAGTAAGACGGCATGACGGCAATGCGCACCAGGAAGAACACCACCGCCATGGCAACGCCGTTTGACACCACCATCCAGTGAGAGCGGGGGAACTTTAATGCCTCAAAGAACCACCTGGAGGGAGAAGAAGATAAAGAAATGTCAGGATGGAGCATGTTTCAGTCAGAGGAGCTGAATCCTGGGACATGAAAACGGATACGGGGTTTCTCACAAACAGGAGCAACTCACCTTTGGTTCACAAACGGCGTCGACAACTCTGAGATAAGACGAAAGTTGGCAAAGTAAGGAAGCACGCCACGAGTCTGCAAAGACCAAACACACGCAGGGTACTATAAATACACTGCAGCACAATGACACAGGCAAAAAAGACCTGAATCATCCAGTTTGTTAAATTACTATTTTGGTTTGTGCTCCCTGGATCTAGACGAGTGACTCACCAGCACATATCCGTATGCGTAGAGCGCCGCCAAGTGGTGGCAAACGAAAAAGCTGTCCCCCATAGTGCTCCAGTTACAGGCGAGCAGCACAAGGTCTAGAGAACAGAGGAGAGGTCTGTCAGACACTGATGAGTCTGTTTGTAAAAGATTCAAGACATTGAAGGCTGAAAATGTGACACTAAATCTTGAGTCAAATATAGAGCGGATAAAAAAAATGTAGAGGGCTCTTCAGGACAAACTCTTCTCCTTTGTGTGTTAACTTCCTGTACAGTATATTGACTCGCTGCCTGTGCACCAGAGGAGATGATCAACACAATGAAAAACAGGGACAGCTCACCGTAAAGGAGGTAACCACATGTTATGGCTACGTTTAGTTTGACCAGACTGGGGTCCCCCCTGTGAAACAGCAGAGAACAGAGGGTGAAGGTATTTTCCACAACCACCCTGAAGGTAAACAAACCAGGAGGAGGAAGCTGCTTCATTTTCCAGAAAAGTGATTTGTATTACTGATTAATGATCTACTTCTGTACTGATAGAGTTGGTTGTCCAGAGGCGTTTTTTTTTGGCTCAAGGCATTTTTTTTTTTTTTTAAACTTAGGGGAGAAGTTAAACTTTAATAAAACCATGTAAACACACTCATCACGAATCACTCAGTCGGGTCATTGAAGGTTGATTGTGTAATCACTGTCTCCTGCTGACGAGCTGTAGGACGCTGACGAGACAGGAGACGAAGTTGAGCTCGTCTGTTGTGAAGGAACGATGTATATTCACGGCGTTGACTCTTTGTTGCCCTCGTTTGTCTGAATAAACAGAAGCTAGTTGAGTCCACAGACTCGTGCACGGCCTGTTCCAGTGACTGTTTGGTGTCCTTGCAAATAACAACTGTTCAAAATAACAATGAAGGTGTCTGCTTCAATAGACATACGATCCTGGTATCAGTCACACGGATCGTATAGCAAATGACCGGCTGACTGCTTGTGTCACACAATCCCACAACAACACACACACACACACGTCAGGCTCACCAGAGAAGGTATGAAGTGTCTGCTGAGGATTATTTTAGGTGTGTCACCATCTGAACTCACATTAGAAGTAGACAGAAACCTTTACAGGATTCCAGGTATGAAACCGATAACTGGTGAAAACCTCGTCTACCTTCATTCAACGACTGGAAATCAAACAACATTCAAGAACTGGAATATTTAAAACCAAGGAATAAAGGGAGTGGATATAGGGATCACAACTAAATAACAATATAAACCTTCTCCTCCGTTCTCCTGTGACGAGCCCGCACATTAACTCCAGATCCAGATAAGCCAATCTTGAAATGCAGCCGAGGCGCGGTGGTCAGACTCGCTGCCTGTTGTTGAACTGAACGGATTATGATAAGAGTGTAGGCCATGCCGCCCGTCAGACTGATACTGGAAGAGTCTGAGCAGCAGCTGGAAACAATGCAGGTTTCCAACACGTCTGGCTCTGGCCACACCAGCCACATTGAGAGCAGCGGGTAGAACAATGCGTCTGTGTGACAGGTCTTAGCGGCGCTGTAATACAATCAGATTGACCGGAGAATTAATGCTTGCACCACTCCGCTGTTGCAACGGGATGAGCCGCAGGGCATTAGGATACTGCTGGGGATCGGGTAGAGGTGCCGCTGGGTAAGCGGAGAAATTCAACACAGAAGAAGTGAAGAAATAAAGCTGCACGCTGGAGGACTGACACGGAAACTGTTCCCACTAAGAGACACATGCTGATTATGAGGAAGAAATCAAATCCTCCAGTCCAACAATGAGAAGGACATGTAGCCCTGGAGACGCAGGCTACAACACTGAGCACCTGACTGCTCAGCAGATGGAGACTGGTAGCAGGAGGAGGGAGATGGGAGAGGGTCCCTCTTGACCCCCCCCCACCCCGCACTCCCACTTTCTTTTTTCTCTCTCTGTTTTTTGCTCCATCAGCGACGCAGGCCGGGGGCTGACAAGAGAGACAATGAGAGCGAGGGAGGTGCGCTGCATTGATTCGACAGCCTGAGATGTGGGGTGCTGCTACATCAGTGGCGAGAGGTGCTGGTGGTGGTGAAGGGGGGGTCCACATGAAGAGAGAAGCAGAGGGAGGAGGCAGAAGACTGGGCTTCTGTTGTTTGCTATGAAAAGGAGCCTTGTTGGTGGGTTTCGAGTCTGTCTGCTAGCAAGCCAGAGAGGAAGCGAAACAAAGGGGGGAGGAAAGGAGAGAAAGAGGAAAGGAGTGTTGAAAGAATTTAAGTGAGAGGTGGGAGACAGAGAGATAGATAGAGTGAGAGAGCTGAACAGAAATGTTTTAAAGGAGTGATACGGGGAGAGGGGGGGGGGGGG